CCCGGCCGTGCGGGGGCGGCCCGCCGCGGGCGCGGAGCCGGAGGAGCCGCGGGGGCAGGAGCCCGGCGGGACGCGGGCGGCTGGGAGCGGGGGGCCGCAGCCGGTAGTCGGCCCCCTGCGATGCCACAGGGACGCGCTTAATTAACACCGTCCCCCCGCGCCGCCCCGTCCTAGTGCTCGTCCTGCCGCCGCGGCTGCACAGGAGCAAAGTGAGAACCAGGCACGAATGCGCTCATTAAAACTCCTTACTGCTTTACAGATACTTTTTTTTAATGCTCCTGCAACAATAGGCTGAGTCCAAACAAGTGTATTTGCACTTTATCCTCGGAGAGTGAGGACTGCAGCCAGAGTTTGCAGCCCATAAATTAATAAATAAATGCGGTAGCATTATCTGGTAATTTGTAGCCTATCAATTTGCATGGCAAAAATGCCCAGCCACATTGTGGCACCACCGGTGAAGTGACTTATGCAAGATCACTCAGGGAGTCAATAAGGAGCTTTGGAAAAAGAGCCATCCAGCCCCAGGACTCGCCTTGCACTGCACTACCTCCCTCTCTCCTTCATTTATTCATTCAAACCAGAATAAATTGTTTATGACTGTAAGTTTCCTTGTTTTCCCCTCTAGATCCATGTTTGTAGGTGTGCACACATGCGGCTCAGAAACCTGCTTGACTCATTTCATAAGTATTTCCCTAACGCAGAGATGCAATGTTTTCGGTCATTGATCTCGACTTGGTACAACACGTCAGTAACTTGTAACGATCAGCCCGAGTTGCACACCTACTACTTCTAGCTGAGCCTGATATCTTGTAATTTATTTTCTACTAACTTACATTATAATTTAAGTGATCTAAATCAGGGGCTAGAGCAGTCAGAAATCCTTCACTGTTTTGTGGGGTTTAATCAATGATTGTGGATGGTAAAGCTGGAAAGCAAGAATATTACTTTCAAATTTATCCAACATCTGCCACCTAAGAATCACAGAGTGCTTTAAAATCTTTTATTAATGAAGCCATTCAACAGCTTTAGGTATTACTTTGCCGTTCTGCAGATAAGGAAACAGAGGCTCAGAGGCATTGAGCCAGTGAGTGACTGATAGACATGGGAACTGAACAGAACAAGACACCGAGATTCTCCATCCTAACCAGTACATGCTGTTAGTATAAACGTTTGACTGATTTGGTGGCCATTTGTTAGCCTTACAGTGTGAATATCAGCCTTCCTCACAACAGGGCACGCAGCCAGAGACGGGGGTGAGGAACCTGTGGTGCAGGTGCCTGCTGGCTGGCAGATTTGCAGTGCCATGCACAGGGCACAGAGCAGTTTTATCTGTGCACGACAACTGTTCCTGGCCCTGAGTTTTGTTGAGGAAACCAGGTTTACTCCCATATATGTGGCAGGATACCCAGAAGGATCCAGTCTTTGAGAGGAAGCCTCCCCATGCTCCTAATTGCACTTGGGAGAGGAGGGGGAATATAACCTGGCATATCAGTCTTGAGAGGCTACCGACCCATGAGGATGCTGCTGGCATCCACCTTGAATCCCTCACCACAGAAGTCTTGACTTTCACACAGTCCACAGACAAAGTGAAATATTTGCTGTGTAGTTCAGCTGTAGGGGGCTTGATTTAGGGGAAAGGGGAAACGTGTCTTAAATACACATCACCAAATAATTTATTTGTAAAATACAGGAAATCTGTTCTGAATAAATTTCAGACCCAACTAGTTATCAAGAATGCAACAAAGATCTGCCTCCCATCATTTTACTTTCTTTTTCTCTGGCTACAGCGTTACAAAAAGGACAGAATATATCACAAATTACAGGATCAATCAGTTAAAATGGGACACCAGATCTAAACATTGAGGACTCAGTACTGCTTCTCCAGAAGGCAATGGTGGAAAACTCATTCATTTGTACGGAGAATGGATGTGTTTTAGGAAGCACAATTCTAGAGAGAAGAGCAGGGGAACTGCACAGATACACCCCTTGCCACTTTCCTGCAACTATTTGCCCTGTTGCTGAAAGAGAAAAAACAGAAGAGGGACCTTCTTTGTTGACTAAACTATGGTAGCATATGGTAGCAGGCTCTGTCTTCCCCTTTAAGAGTCTGACAGACCACATCCTCTCCTCTCCTTTGTAGCTGAGCCCCTGTTCATGCTGGCCACCTCTTGGGCTGCTGTGGGAGGCAGAGCCCTCAATGGACAATAAATTACATAGCTCCAAAACAAATCACTGATCCTTTCCTCAGCTCGCTCACTCTGCCACCAACCCCTTCCCCACATACAGAGGTACCAGCTTAGGTGCAGGGGATGTACAAATGAGATGAGCATCACTTCAAACTGCCCTGGCCATAGACAGAAAACGCCTCGTAGCCCCTGAACAGGAGAAACAGAGCGCTGCTGTGAACCGGAGTTGTCCTAAGTTCTGCCTACCAACTTTCCTTTGCTACAAACCATTGAGTAAACTGCCTTAGGCAAAGAGGAGAAAGGCCAAGAGAGCCAATCTGTACAACATAAAAATAAAAATAAATTTAAAAAAAAGGAAAAATCTGGGAAGCTGGCTATAAATACATCACAGGGTTCTAGTGACACCGTAAAGTACTGGAACTTCACTCTGCCTTGCTTTATTAGGTGTCGGTGGATGTATTTACTGCCCTGTAATTCACAAGTGACTCATTTATTTAGCAGCACCACTGGAGGAAGAGGGCAGATTTCAATTGCAGTTTCCCCTCTTGAGTGGCAAGGGGAAGTTTATAGTCAGAAGGGAAGTTTCAACAACATTATTCACACCAGATTTACTTCAAAAGAGGCACTGTTATTTTCCTATTAGTTTAGTTCATCTGGATAAACATATAGTCTTTCTAAGCGTCCTTGCATCTTCAGAACTGAGATGGGTGCCTTAAAGGATAATGGTTCCCATCATAAGTTGCTCCCTACAGATATGAGAAAAGTAGCCTTATTTCTTACGTAGCTGTTTCTTTTACTAAAAGAGTGGAGGGCCACCATATTCTGCAGAAATGAGAAATAACAAAGCAATTGTTTCTAAGTTTTAGAATCCCAGAAAGAGAGCCAGTTGGCTTCAAGCCCAGGAAAAGTTTGTACGCTACCTTATTTGTGTCACGAAGTACAACTCTCTCTATATTTCCTGTTAAATCTTAGCTGTTAATTACTTTGCTGCAGTCAGAACTGAAAAAGTCAGTTCTGCTCTAAAATCACAGATCTCTCAAACTGGATCCAAAGAGGAATCTCCATTAGCTTTTAGCAATACAGGGTGACGGCCAGAGAGATGACAGCTCTTGCTCCACCCAGTAGAGGCTAACGAGGCACACATTAGCCAGTGCGTTGCTATATAATAAGGTTAAGAGAGTAAGGTCAGCTAGAACAGCCTGTCACCCAAAAGCTTCTCCGAGACTGAACTGTTTTTCTCAAGGTTCAAAACAGTCCCATTTTTTTTTTTAAATGTACTTTTCCAAGAACAAGGGCAAGAACAGTTTCCGCTTATGATCTTAAAATAGAGTCTTAAATAAAATAAAAAAAAATAAACCAGAAGGGATTGCATGCTGTAGAGGGCTTAGGACTGGCATATAGACACCTTTGTCTTTAGCAAGCTACTTCAAATAATGCTGAGGACAGCAGTGACCAAAAAGCTGGTGAGTTCCTCAGCACTGCCAGCAGAATTAACTGC